GTCCCACATACAGCAACTAGAAGGATGTGCAGCTATGACATACAACTATCTACTGGGGCTTTGGGGGGAAAAATAAATAAATAAAATTTAAAAAAAAAAGAAGAGGGAGCCCAGTGAAGGGGTGCTCAATTTCCGGGTTCTTATATAGAGCTGAAGTGCTTCTACTTCTATAGCAGCTGAACTGAGGGCTTTTTTTTGCTGAAGATTGTAATTCTCTTCCCACTATACTGGCCTCTTTTGTCTAGGAAAATTTATGTAGTAATAAACCAGCTCAACTTCCATGTTAGACTGACATAACTCCTATGACCTAATTGATATTATAGAAACAGGCTTTATGGAAGAGTGTCGTATAGTTCCCTCTACCTCCTTTTCCTATGACCTGAAAAACACTGATACCTGTATTGAGTATTAAAAGTGTCCTTCATCATTCCCGACCAGTGCATCGACTACAGGGACTCCCCAACTTACAAATAAGGCACGTTTGCATTGTTTATTTCTAAGTTACTCTTCTGATCATAGCTATGTTCTAAAATCAATCTACAAAAGCCTGTGCAAACCATTAAATAATACAAGTTAGCATTTACTGAGTATAGAGACTATGCCAGGCGCTGGCTGAGCCCTTTGCACATTTGCCTCATTCGATCCTAACGAAGGTGCTTTGAGGTGGATTCTATCCTCACCCTCATTTTGCAATTGAGAAAACACAGGTAAAAGAGGTTAATAACTTGCCAGGGGTCACACAACCAGTTTGCAATAGTGGAGAAATACGATGCATTCAACATAAAGAGTCAAACAGTAAAAGTAAGCAAGGATAGGTTTGCATTTATCTGGAACGCTGGTGTTTGAATATAAGGGCCTGACATCCTTTCCCTAAAGCCTCTTGTCTCTGGTTTGAACCACCTCCTCCACCCCAAATGCCACATACTCCCTTCTACGAAGGGCAACTCACAGCATAAATCCCCCACACGCACCCACCAGCACTGCCATCTCAGCAGAGCACAGAGGTCTCCTGCAGACCACTCAAGTCAGCCAGCCCAGCGCCTGCCCATTTCTGTCCTGCTCTCAGAACGCCCCACACTCTCCAGCATGGCCTAAGCCCAGGAAAAAGAGGCAAGGGCAGCAAATTCACCCCCTGAGCTTGTAATCCAGATACATCTTCTAAAAATTCCCTCCCATAAGCGTTCCTTAGTTATGTTAGGAATGGCTGAAGGGCCTCCCGTCACCTTTGCTCATGTGTATTGCTATTTGTATGTTGGTATCTCCAGGATGGCCATTTCTTCCTAAAGCTTTCTATGGACATTTTCAAAGTGAAGCCGTATTCAGAAATTCTTAGTACTGGTTGACTTAATTTACCAACTCCTAACTCAAACAGAGAAAACAGACAAGTTTACTAAACAGCAATTGGGAAAAGTGAAAACTTACTTGTATAAACTGACGGTTGGTTCAACTGCCAACATAACAAAGGGTGCGACCGTGTAACAGACAGCCAGCTGAGTGACAGCCCAGGTGATCACGTCATAAACAAGCTTGAGGGCTTTTGAAGAAAGGAAGTAATGTCTGTAGTTCTTCCTCATCTGCAAGCCCAGAAAGGCAAAGTGAGGGGAGGGGGCATGAAAAATAATAGCTTCTACTCCGTGCACGCAGGATACCTCAGGAACATAGAATTCAGATGGCTCGTATTTTTGAAAGCCTATTTTCAACTAAAAATACCATTATGGTTTTTCTTACTACAAAAAAAAAAATATGAGTCCACTATAGAAAAATGTTCAAAGATCAACTAAGCAAAAAAGAATTTTTTTCTTTTTTAACGTCTCCCAAAGAATAGCACTGTTTATAAACTTGGCACATAGCCTTCCAAGCCTTTTTCTTTTTTTTTTTTTTTTTTTTTTTTTTTTTTCCCCCCAAAGCCCCAGTGGATAGTTGTATGTCGTAGCTGCACATCCTTCTAGTTGCTGTATGTGGGACTCGGCCTCAGGATGAACGGAGAAGTGGCGCCTCGATGCGCACCCGGGATCCGAACCCGGGCCGCCAGCATCGCAGCGCGCGCACTTAACCGCCAAGCCACAGGGCCGGCCCCCAAGCCTTTTTCTATTCATCTATATCTACATTTATATTTCCAATGGCATCAATGTATTTCTTAGCTTGTTTTTTCATTTAGTACTATATCACGAATCATGAATTTTTTTCCACGTTGGTAAATATTAATCTCCAATATAATTTTAAGTTAATTATGGAAAAGTTAGCTTGACACCCACCCCTGCTGTTATAAACAATTGTGTGATTCATATCCTTGTAGCTAAATCTCTGCATTGTTTCCTAATTATTTCCTTTGAATAACAGTAATAAAATAACATTACTATTAGTAATAAGAGCAGCTACCATGTGTTGAGTGCTTACTGTGTGCCAAGCCTGTGCGAATGCTTTATATATATCATCTCTATTGACTCTGCCAACAAGCCTATCATGTAAGCATCATTATGCCCATTTTACAGAAAAGGAAACTGAGGTAATTCTTTGAAATAGAAAGTATTGGGTCAAAGGATACACTCAAGGCCTTTTGATACATGTGACTAGATTTGCCTCCAGAAAGACACCTAATTTCCAGATCCAAGTATCAAAGGCAGAGCTGGGACAATGGCTGGTTTATAGGTAGGTCAGCCCCAAAATAAGACAGGCTTCCCAGGGCTGCCTGGTTAAGTTAAGAATTCCTCTCCTCGGCCTTGAGTTCCTCAAGACAGAGGTCAGAGGTCCGTCCACTGGGAGGAGCCTGAGCAGTATCTGGAAGCATGTAAGAGATTTGACTAGGTAACTCCCTGGGCCTAAGACACTTTATGCCTATTTGCGTTCATTCTCCTTTCAGAAAAAAAGGGGAATGGGAACACTCTCCTCTCCACCCCCTACCTAACTCATCTGTGAAAAATGTTTCCAGGCCACCCAAAAGAAAGGTTTTACATAAATCAATGCTTTTATACCAGCTGAGATCAACAAACTAAAGAAATTTTAAGGAATAATACTCTGAATATATTAACAAACAAACTTCTGGCCTCTGTTTTAGTTTGTCCTGGCCATCTGTTCTTTAGTTTTTTTTTTATAATCCAAGTAGGTATATGAATGGGAGAAAAGAAAAGGTCTTTCCTGTTTTCTATGCACAAATATGTACAACATATATAGTATTTTGAAAGTGCGCTAATCAGCATGAATAGTAATCAATCATCCATTTTGTTCACACATATATTCAAACAAACGTTCATCTAACTAAAATAGGAATTCCATGGGGAGGGACCCTTGTCTTGTTCACTGTGGCATCCCAGTGCCTAGAACACTGACTGGCACATAGTGTGGCTCCTGAAATATTCACGGATGAATTCAAGAATGAGTGAATAGCTATGCTGGGGCTCCTCAATTCACATCCAAAATGAGTTCGACAAATGTCATTAAAAATTTTTGCACCTGAATAAGGAAAGCCACAATCATTGTCAAAGATTGCACTGAAATCAAATACAAAACTCTATTTGACAAGAGCACCTTGAATTGCAATTACTTATATACAGGTTCATCGCATTCTTTGAGGACAGGCATATTTTTTATTCCATTATTATTCTGCTCCAGAACCAGCAGATAGGAGGAACCACCTAGAACAAACTGAAAACTACCCGAAAAACCTAGAGAACCAAATTTATAAAAGTTACAAGAATTTTACACAAACTAATTTAATTGGATCAGGCTTGAGATCATGCGTGAAAGGTTAGAACAATCTCTAACAGAACACAGTTCCCGTGGCTGCAATTTTACTGGCTGCTCAGAGACTTTGTGAATTATTTCTAGGCTTAGGATAATGAAATGAGAAATTAAGTGGAGTATAAGCAAAATGAAGTCCTACAGAGCTTACATTAATTGATAATCATCGTCATCTGTAATTAGTAGACTGTGTTTGTTTACAGCCTTTAATAACTAAAAATGTTTTCATCTCTTAAGGTATTTTTTGTGTGTGTGTGTGAGGAAGATCAGCCCTGAGCTAACATGCATGCCAATCCTCCTCTTTTTGCTGAGGAAGACTGGCCCTGGGCTAACATCTGTGGCGATCTTCCTCTACTTTATATGGGATGCCACCTCAGCATGGCCTGACAAGCGGTGCGTCGGTGAGCGCCCGGATCCGAACCCCAGCTGCCAGCAGCGGAGCGCGTGCACTCAACTGCTACGTCACCGGGCCGACCCCTTATCTCTCAGGTATTAAACATTACTCCTAAAATTCCTTTTGTTTTGCAAACACCCTCTGTAAATACTATGAAAATAAAATGGCTAACCATTTTATGACTACATGTTCCCATATATTGAGGTATTCCTCTAATGGGAAGACTTTTGTTGTTTGATTTTTTTAAAATATTACTCCCACCCATCCCCCTCCCCCGACTCCTGATGGAACCTAAAAGACAACAAACAAACAGGCATCAGATTATTAAGGAAAAGACCCTACAACCAAAGGAAGCTTACCGTTCTGGCTGCTATTGTGACAAGGGTTCCAGTTAAGAAGGTAAAATAGTATCCAGGGTAGACCCCGTGCCACAAGGCAGACAGGATGAAGGTTAGCATGGTGGGGTACCATGGAACCCGCTCATAACACACTCTGTGAAGAGAAGAAGGTATAATGAGCCACAGGTCAAACATTAAAGAAACTTCTAGCTACAGTGCATCTTTCCAGATCAGACCATGCAGAAATCATTTGATCCATTACTGAGGGCATGTCTGCCTAACCCTGTTCAGGGACTTGCAATGCATTCCAGGCAGCCTGAATTCTGGTTTTCTTGAACACTACCAGATAGGCAATTCACAGTTCAGTCCTTTGGGGAGATGAATATGAATTTTTAACTTCCATAGAAATAACTGATCTGGACCCCATCATATTATATCTAATACAAGGCCGAGTGGTCACTCTATACCCACCATGGGCTCCTTCTATAGAAGCTTATTCCACCAATGGCCTAATCTACCAGGGATACTTACGGATAAGTGTCATTGGTGCTAAAAACTTTGGAATCAAGATAAGGGTCTTTAGAAATGCATATCCTCATTTAGTCAAAATTAATTTACCTTTCCAGCCTGGCCCATATGCCTTCTAACTAATCAACACTGCAACCCTTTTCATCTCTCTTGGCAATGACTCCAGCACAAAATCTATGTGTTGGTTATATGAGCTCTGCAGCCCTTACAGTGTCCATCAGATTTCAATCCATGTATTTGCCTTAAAGAATGAGGATATTGTGAGGATTTAGAAATTGTCAAGAAATATCCTGGAGATCTTTGGCTTCTTGGTTGATTATTAAAACAAAGTGATAGGGGGCTTTCTCTCAAATTCAGTCTATGAATTGCCAGTGGTACCATAAGGAAGCCACTACATGGTTTACTAAATAAGAGGACCCAACTAAAACATAAACTAGAAATTCAAACAGTTAACACCAATCCAGCACTGTATGGGTTGTCAAAAGTAACTGATTTAAACCCAAACTAAGGATTATGGCTCCTTCTTCACAGGAAGAAACAACACATTTGGGGAGAGAAACAGGGGACTGGGACCCCATTTGCAATGTTTCTTTTTGAAATGAGGGGTAGTTTGCATAGGTATTTGTTTCCTACTCTCTGTATCGTTTTGTATGAATGACATAGTTCATTTTCTAAAATGATTTTTTAAATATTTTTTTCATTTTTGATGTGCACACATGTATGTTCAGTCATCTCAGAATATAAACTCCTAACAGAGACTGTAGGACTCTTGGTACATTGGGATTACTCAATATACAGAAATAGAAGTTTATGCTAAAATTATTTGCAAAATTAATAGCAATAATATTAAGGGCAAAATTTCAAAAACTGCATGTTCAGATCAATTTTCAGACAACACTGCACGAGCTTACTTTGGAGGGATTACTATACATTGTCACTTCTTTCACTCCAACGTTTTGGCCTACAAAAATGCTACTTATCAAAAACAGTAGAATCTACAGCTTAATAATTTTATATTCTCCCTGCACTCATATAATAGGAATATTCACTAACTAGAGTTTGCTGCTTCAAGGATAGCATATTATTAGTTCCATAATAAGTAATGTTTCTAATTTTGGAATTTGTAGGGCAACAAAAGGACGGAAATATCAAAAAAAATATAGTTAAAAAGCATCTGGGGTACCATAAAGCTTTTAATGCTAGAGATAAACACAGAGATTGTCAGTGATTTGATGCTGATATGGACCCTCCTTGATATCTGAGCAAGAGACTCTCCTCTAGGTAAGAGGCAGCACAGCACAGAGGTTAAGAGCCGGGCTCTGGAGACAGTCTGTTTGGTCTCTTATCTATTACTTTACTCATTAGCTGTATGACTTTGGGCAAGTCACATAACCTCTCTGTGTCTCACTTTCCTCATCTGTAAAATGGGGATAATAACTACCAACATCTCATGGGATTGCTCTGAGGATTAAATGGGTGCCAGGTACACAAGAATGGCAGCCTCAAGTGTTTGATAAATTAAAATAAATATGCTACATTGTGACCTTCTCAAATCACTATATTTCTACTTTTACAGGGCATAAATGTTAATACAAAACAAAAGTGTCAGATGACATTACTACTGGCAGAGGATCGCTGTTCATCTAATGACTTCCATCTAAACATATCCCAGCGCCATGAGTAATGAGGTCATTTTTGTTTTTCTTACCGCTTTAGCCAAGTAACTGTCTGAATATTCCAGTTTTCTAAGTACATTTTGAAACTTGTAGCAGTCTAGAAAGAAGAAAATAACACCTATCATTAGCTTTAAAAATACCCCAAGTAATGGAAAGTCTTCCGCAGAACTTCCCTGGCAGCAGAGTAGATGTGCTATTTCAACGGTGACTACTCAGTCAAGTGTAGATCAGCTATTCCATCATATGCAATAGAATTTTCTGGTGTTTATAAGATTTACTTTGCACTAAAACTTGGCTTGCAAAGTCTCCATTTTTCTCAAAATTTATTTTCAAATTATAGGAAAACTAAAGGAATGTTTTGTGGGTTTTCCTTCCACTGTGGTTAAGAAAAATTTTGTCATCTGAATTTTAAAACTAAATAGTCTAAAAGGGGATTTGCCACAGGAAAAGTTTAATCATGTGACTTTCATGCCTTTTTGGAGACAGCTTGAATGTAACTGTCATCTTTTCACTATGCGGCCATCTATAAACTAGGTCAGTCTTGTGGAGTTATTCTACAAATAGCTATACAGGTTCAAATGCTTCCTATTGTATCTAGAATAGTAAGAGATTTTATGCATGAAGGAGTCACAATGCAGAAAAGAAAACAAAGAAATATCACCCAACTGGCAATGACGCAGGTAATCAACCACTGAGGAGGAGAGATTCCAAAATAAGCCATCAATCGGGTTTTCTCATTCAAAAAAAAAAAAGTCTTTTCAAAGGCTGGTGGTAGAAAGCATGAAGCAAACATGCAAGAACCAGAATTCCTAATGAACTTTGAAGTACAAGTGCCATTTTTTTCTGTTTCAACCATAAGAAAATCTTAGATAGCCATACATTGGCCTAATGTAATATGTTTGGAAGGAAGGAAGAGAGGGAGGGAAGGAGAGAGAAGACAGGTAAGTAGGGAGATGGGTGGATGGATGGACGGACAGATTTTGTATTATGAGTTTTTATTTCGAAACCCTAAGGAGTTTTATTTATCCATATCTTCTCTGGCTAATAAAATGCTATATGCACAGCTTCAAGGTACCTTAACTAAATCAGACTTCCTTGGAGTTCTTTAGCTCCCTGCTGTATATCAACTCCATTGGAAATACAAACTTTCTCCTTCTGATTTTCCTTTATAATAAATACATAACTTAATAACTTAGCCCTTTATCCTGAACACATTCCCACCTGAAAGAACTCGGTCTTTCGGTGTACAGCTAAGGGGACTGGTGGGCAGCCAAAGCTCAAGGGGAGCCACTCTGAAGGACATTTACCCACAGCACTCCAAAGCAGCCAGCAGTGGTCCAAGAGTTTTGAGAGAGAGAAGAATTTTAGTGGGAAAAGGCAGGAAAGTCATAACATTTGGACTGTCTCCAACATCATCTATATAGAAAAGAGAAGATTGTAGATTATCTACATTGCTTTTCTCAAACAGAGAAAGGTTGTTCTGAAGGCTGGAGCTTGTCTACTTAAGATAAAGAGAAGCCTCAGGCATCAAGAAGGAGGAGGACGTCCCCCACGTGGCCACCTAACGTGGGTGGCAGGTGATCAGTCTCCACATCCCTGGGTTCCTGCTATACATGCACATCCTCTTCTGCCCAGACTCTCCAACAGCACTCTGCCTTCCCTGTGATGGTGGAAAACCCAAACCAACAGCAAACCCGAGTCCCCTGGCTAGAGAACCAATACTTCTGTATGTTGAGAATCATGTCCTTACTCCCATCCAGCTACAAGGAGGAAAAGGTCTAAGACCGGGCACTCCTATCAGCTCTGAGTTCTGACAGTGCCCAGGAAACCAAGACTGATATGGCTCCAAAGAAACCACATCTGATGATGAAGACATATCGAGGATTGTGGTCAATAATTGTGGGAGAAAGAAGACCACACTGATTCTAGTGGCCTAAATTAAGCTGTGTGCCTTGACAATTCTTCCCAAAAAGAAATGGATTATAAATGCATCCGAAGGAACCACAGAGAACACTTGAGATATTAAAATCTAAATACAGGAGCTTCCAGTATGTGCTCTCGACTGAAGAAAGCAGAACGTGAACAAGAGAAAATGACATCTGTACTTTCTAGTTGAAAGAACAGGAATATAAACAACAAAAAAGATTTTCCTGGCTCTTTTTCAGACTTGTATGTGTCATTATTCCCTGAACCATTAAAACTATCAAGAAAGTAGGTATCTTTAAAAAAACAATGAGGAAAAAAAATTTCTTAGATGCAAAGTGTCCAAGACGTTCCTGGACCTGGCGTCCCTGATAGCAGCTTCTCCTTAGACACTGAGGAAGAATGTCCAAGGATACCACACTCCAAGCAAACCATTTGCTTCACTCAGTATGGAAGCTTGATTCAAAAGCATAATAGACTCACCTCAATTTTCCAGATGTTTAGGTTAGAAAGCAGATCCCAACAGAAATTTCCATTCTTATCCACTCCGCTGAACCCAAAGCCAGCTGCATTATTCACTGCATCAGCTATGGTTTTTAAAACAGCACATTAGGATATGGAACAAAAGTCACATTGTTGCTTTAAAAGATACTAAATGTCTGTCTAGCTTTAAGATCGAGAGATATGCAGCAGTTTCCTTGGAAAAGAAACCAAAAAAATTTAAAGGCTCTGCTACCATTATGAATCAGAGAAACCTTTGATGGCCTCAATTTTTATTCATTCATTTTTATTCATTCACTAGCATTTAGTGAGCACCTGCTTAGTAAGAAAGGCACTAGATGCTCATAGGATGCAAAATGAGAATAACAGAGAAATGAAGAAACAAAACAAAGCAATAAACAGGAGGATTTAGTGACCACTTGATATAAGGGGAGAAAGGGAAGAAGGTAAAAATACATCTAAGCTCAGAAGCAGAGAGCGGAGAAACGGGACCCAGTAGTGGTCCAAGAGCTGTCATTAAAGAAGGCAGGACATTAACTGCTAGACAGCACTAAGTCAGGAGGGAACCAGCTCTGAGAGAGAAATTGGAGCTCATTCTGGACATATGACGCATGACACGTCAGTAGGATCTCAGACGGGGCTGCCAGGATGCAGTCAGAGAAGTTTAGGACACGAGAAAAACAACAGAGCTGGAGGTGTGAATTTGGGGCCAGCTGCCACAGAGGCCAAAATTACCAAAGCCATCCTACCCATCAAGTCAGTCAAAAAGCTCCAGTTTCCATCTTTATTTCACCTCACTGAACTCGAAGAAAATGTCCCCCAGTGGTATTATATTTCTAATGAATTCCTTAATGAAATGTTTTTGTAATCAGATAGAGACCTGATGAAATCAACATAGTTTTATGATGATGATGAAGAGGCTAATTTTCTCTTTTCATTGATCTTATTTTGAGTTCATTCTCTTAGAATATTTTCTGAAAAATGTAATTAATTAAATCACAGCACTGTAAAGTCTTAGATCTGGAGGGAATCTTAGAGAAATCTTTCTTTCCCGTAGCTCTATTCCTTCTGAATCTATAGAAGAGGGATTTCTGAAGGGCTCCTCTAAAGAAAAACAACCTGTTCTGTGTTTGTCTCATTTACTTTTGGCAGAGGTGATGATTTAATATTGCTTATCTTATGCTTGGCTTCACTGCAAAATGATCTGGTTTCTTTTAGAAAAGAAAGGATGAGAAGTGCTGAGTCCTGCTATGTCTCCCGAGCTGACTGGGTAGAAACTTGGTGGAAAAGAAAAGAACAAAGCAAGGGTGTGCCAGTTAACAAACTAATAGTTTTATACGTGTGGGAAGAAATCTGTGAATGACAGAAGATAAACTAAACTGGGAGAAGAAGAGCCCTTGAGGTCTGTGTTGACAACTAAAAACCAGACTGGACTGACCATGCTGGGAGCAGCATAGCAATCTCTAAACTTCTCCCATCTCCAGCCTCAGATCTGGCATACCTGGTCAGATCCAAAAGAACAGAATAATAATAACCATCTTCACTGTGTGGTGTGTGTGTGCGTTTAGAATCTTTCCAGGATTCTATGAAGCACTGTACGGACATTTCTCATTTAATGCTCATAACAGTGTGAAGATGGTAGTTAAGGGCAGGCTCTGGGGCAGATCTCCTGGGTTCCTGTCTCCACTCAGCAACGGTGCAAATGCATGGCCTTGGGAAAGTTGTCTAACTTCTAGAAACCTATTCCCTTGAGTATAAAATGGATATAATAATGGTACCTCTTTTAAAGGGATAGTGAAAGGATTAAACGAAATTAAATATGTGTCGAGTGCAGAGCACAGTGCCTGGCCCAAGTTAGCACTCAAGAAATAGTAGCTGCTGCTATCATTATTATTATTATTACCCCCATCTTGCTGTGAAAGGGACTGAGGCTTAGTGATATTAAGATCGCTCATGTGGTAACAATGCCAGAATATGAATACTAGAACACTGGTTCCACAATCTGGGTGACTGAGAGCCACTCTGGAAGATAAACGGTGAAAAACCAGAAGCAGTGATTCTCAGAACCGCTGCATTTAGACAATGTTGGAATTCCCCACTTTCCTTAGCGCATTCCGCTGCACGTCATCACAGACTTGTTTTTGTCTTAGAACAGTTAGAGGTTCTAAGTTCACCAGCCCAAAACTGGCTGTACTTGTATTGTGCATTGTATTGTATTATTACAGATAAAACAGATAAATTAATTGGGACACCCATATTTTGGAGTTTGTGATCCTTAGAACACAGCCTGGGCTCAAGTCGAGTCTCACTAATTAGTACTAATTAGTAGGGGAAAAACAACCAGAATTGTACACTGAGCCCAAAGAAAATAGCTGTATTATTTCAATATAAACAGTAACTAGAACTAGGCTAACACAGTGCAGCTCAGCAGAGATTCATCAAGAGGCCAACTTTAAGGATTAAATTTATAATCATGTATAATTAGTACATCAATTATAGGTAAATGCTGTTTTAAGGAGCTGGATAAAACAATTATTAGGTTAAGCAGTTTAAATATTCCCTGTTATACTACTCATTGCTTCTTTATTCATAAATAATACAAAGGTTAATGTCAGACCAGCCCGTGAAATCTAAGCTGTAACAAACTTCAAATTGAGGCCATACAAATTAATGAAGAGTTTCTAATGGAGCTACCAAAAAAGATAAAGAAAGGGGGGGATAAAAGAAAAGAAGGAAGCAGGGGAAAAAAAGAAAAGAAAAAGAGCTAAGTCCACAGAGAAAGCTACCCACAGAAAGGGTTACTTCTATACTCCAAATATCTGGGGTACTCCCAAAAGGGCAGAATGGTGCCAGACACCCCCTGTTCCCTGTCACCCCCTCCCCACCCAGAGCACCACCAGCACAACCCACCTTGTGTTAGACTTCCCCTATGAGGCCATGGGATGGCCTTTCTTTCCTCCTTAAATCAGGAGCTGATTTAGTCCAGAAGCCAGCCCACAAGCCCTGGGATACAGAATGTGGGAGAGGGAAGGGTAGAGAGAGGGGAAAAGAAAAGCAGGATAAGTGAGGAAGTAGAAGGTAGTAAAAGGAGCAAGAGAGTCTCTCTTATACACGCACACACACAGGCACACACACAAACATATACAAACACAGCTTAGAGCAAAGTGAAAATACTATTTCACATAGAAAAGTACTCCTGGTGTTCCAAGTAGGGTTCCAACCATAGTTGGTATCATGCCTACCTATTAAAGAAATTATCATTTTCAAGTAATGACACAACTGCAGAAAAAGGAATAAGACTTTTGAAGCCTTCCCCAATAACCAGTCCATACTCATCATCGCCTCTGTATTCCTACCACTAAGTCAGCTCTTGATGCATATTGCCTGGTGGGGGTGCACGTCTGTGTCCCCACAGAGTGTAAAAATCTTGAGGGTAGAGAATATGTCTTACTCACCTTTGAATTCCTCATAGCACAGAACCTGGTACTCCACAAAAACTCCTTGAATTAAACTAAACAGAAACGAATGTCCCATGCTGCAAATTTTTAAAAAGCTCGAGGTCAGATCTCTCTGGCCAACTGTTACATAAATATTGCATTGGACTGAACTGATCCCTGAACATTTTGACCTTTAAAAATAACTGGACCAGGAGCTGGAGAGAGGGAGGAATGGGGAGTTATTACTTTGTTTAATGGATAGTCCAGGGTTTCTGTTCGGAGTGATGGAAACAGTTCTGGAGATGGGCGGTGGTGATGGTTGCACAACATTGTGAAATAACTTAATGCCACTAAACTGTAAACTATAGATGGTTAAAATGGTAAATTTTATGTTATGAATATTTTACCACAATAAAAAATAATAAATGAAAAAAGTAATTTAATAGCTACAAACTCTAATTTGAGGCTAAAAACTTGGAGCATGAAATGAGAGAAGAGGAACTCAATTAAGTGCTATGCACTCACTCATGGAATATGGGCTAAGCACTAGGAACCGAGTTTTATCACCTATTTGACTCAATAAACCAAGTCCCTGCCCTCTGATCAAGCCCCACGTCACTTCCAGCTAAGATGTTAAACTTCCATTCCTGAAAGGGTTCCAAATGTGAAACACATAAGGCTGCCATGCCTTTTCCAAATCCTTTACCATTCTTAGTGTGTAACTAAAGGATTTATTGCCCACTTTAGCAAAGCTTTAAACTTTTCCAGTCTAAAACTGTTTGAAAGGAAAAAGATAAAAGCTTAATATTGTCTAAGTTACCTCACAAGAAAAGAAAATGTGTGATAAAACCAAATGAAGTTGAACTTTCTACCTTTAAAAAAAAAAAAAAAAAAAAAAAATCAGGGGCCAGCCTGGTGGCGCAAGCAGTTAGGTGCGCCCGCTCCGCTTCAGCGGCCCGCGGTTCGCAGGTTCGGATCCCAGGCGCACACTGACACATCGCTTGTTAAGCTATGCTGTGGCGGCGTCCCATATAAAGCAGAGGAAGATGGTCACAGATGTTAGCTCAGGGCCAATCTTCCTTAAGAAAAAAGGGGAGGATTGGCATCAGATGTTAGCTTAGGGCTAGTCCTCCTCACAAAAAAAAAATAAAATCACTTGAGGTCAGCTTCTTTCTAAGGCATAAAGCTTAACCAACAATTTCTTAAAGAAAAAGCACATCTAAACCAGCACGTGTGTTGATAAAATTAATTCAGTCTGTATCCTCTATGATGTACAAGCCAGAAAAATTACAAGAAAGCCAGATCATTCTGGAATTTTTCCCTAACTTTCCACTGCACTAAATGGCCAAGTTTGATTGGCGGAAGAAGCAGCTTCCAAGTTTTGACATCTGTTAATAACATTGGGTTTAAACAACTGCCAGGATTGCTTTTCTCTTTATCAGAGATGAGTTTATGGACGGCAGGAGAGAAGAGTGCTATGCTGGAAAGTAAGAAAGGATACTGGCTCAACTGCCTTCCAGAATATATTGGACTTTACTTTTTGGTTTTTTTTTTTTTTTTTGGTGAGGAAGATTAGCCCTGAGCTAACATCCATTGCCAATCTTCCTCCTTTTGTTGAGGAAGATTGGCCCTGGGCTAACATCTGTGCCCATCTTCCTCTACTTTATATGTTGGACACCTGCCACAGCATGGCTTGATAAGCAGTGCACAGGTCCATGCATGAGATCCGAACCTGCGAACCCCGCACCACAGAAGCAGAGCACGCAAACTTAACAGCTACACCGCAGGGCCGGCCCCTGTATTGGACTTTTTTTGATTAGGTGATCCAAAATGTTGTTCTGGCTAAGCCATCCAAGGAGTACTGTTTCTTTCCTCCTTCATTTAGGGCCACTCCATCAAACTTACCTAATGTCCAGGCAAAGTAATACTTGGGCTTTGAGGCTTGCATGACAATATATAAGTAGCAGAGTCGAGTCGGAAAGTTTGCTTTATGAACAAACCAGTCATCAGCTAGGCAGGTGATGGGGAAGGTCTTGGTGAGTGTCAAAAACAAAAGGAGAGACACCAAGGTCATGCACAACTTCTGTATCACAGCTCTCTGAAAATGAGGAAAAGATCAGTGTAACCATTCAGAAGATCCGGGATGAGGAAAACCATTTCAGCAAGGGCACGTTAAGAACAAAGCTATTCCAACAGCCGCTATGACAATATTCCCTGGAAGGAGACTTTCTTCCTCATGACACAAATTGGGTGATAGACATATGTGCTATATTTAGATTATCAGAATACACCTCTGACACCTGAGGACTGAAGGTATCTAAAACGGAAGAAAACTTTTACCAGAAAATTCTACCTCCAAAGGTAACATAGATAACATTACAGAGTGGCAATCTTCCATCACAAAGAAAGAACCACTGCCTTCCAATTCCATAGGCAGCAGAGGCAAGGAAATGGGTTTGAATCACCAACAAGGAGGGGAGAAGCTTAGTCAGGAAGGATTCTGTGCAAGTGATTAAATGCCTGAGCCGGGACATGGCCGGTAATGGCAAGCTTTAGAGAGCCCCCTAGGGTGGTTACATGCAGTCTGCTGTGACATTTTAAATACCTCTGGAAGGAGTGATTTTGCCCAGTTTCCCTGACATTCTAGGTAATGTCGTTTAACATCAACAGAATTATAGTCCCCAACTTTATAAAAACAGGCTACTTGTATTTGTCATATGGGGATAGCAATAGCATCTCCCTCAAAGAGTAGCTTGGGGTTTAAAGGAATGAATATTTACCAGGTACTGAGAACAGTGTCCGGGTCCCAGTTAAGTGCTCCCCACACTTGGCCACAATTATGACACCACCACTGGGGACGCACCAGCTCGTGGCTGCCAGACCCCTCCCAGCAACGTGTCTTTAGCCAAAATGCAACCTCACCACTTCACTTTCTCCGTGCACAAAAATGCAAGAGTCTCCTTGGAGAGCCATGTTAAGACTCTCTGATAAAATTATTTTCTCAATAAAAGCATGTGAAACACAAAAGCACGACTGTGACAGATACTGCCTACAGACACCTGTGGTTACTTTGGTGTCTCATAACCATGGTGACTTCACTCCTAGATGGTTTCCTTAAAGCAGCTGGAGCTGAGACAGTTGAGCAACCATAAAATGCTGAGGACCCGACTGTGTCAAAGCTATCCGAAAATTCATGCTAAATTAATAAATCACTTAAATTTTCAAATCATTAATTTTGCCTGAACGTTAGCATTTATGTATGAAATACTTAAATTATCCTCATTTTTTGCCTTTTCCAATTTTCCCTATTCCTTCAAAATAATTACAAATTTCCCTTCAATATAGGATATTTGATCCGAATAAATTTAGCATATTTGTAAAGCTCAATAAGTTATCCTAATTTTGACTAATTTGAGATTAATAAAATTCAGATTAAAATTAAAATATTATTTCAAAAAACCATCTTAAACTTTCTCAGAGTCAATAAAACCAAGCTTCGGGCATGCCAGTGTAAAACTGGTTTCCCTTGCGATAAGCAGGCTCTGCAATAAAAAGCTCGTTGATTCTGGTCCCCACTTCCTTCCCCTCCACCTTTGATGACATATTATCCTTTGGCTGTATATGAATTTCTCTTCATAAAGACAAAACACTCATAAATTAGAATGTGTTAACTAGCACAGCGCTGAGCACATTGTAGGCACTGAAGATTGGCTGGTTGACTAATGGATCAATTGCTTTAATATTCCCAGCCAATGAGCTCCTCTGTGAAATAAACATCTGTTGCTCCACACAGAGAATTGCTGCAAATAAATACCAATACTGGTATTTTAAACAAATGGGGAAAAAAAGTTATTGGCCAAGCTTTCTGGTAAACTGTTTGGCTTTTTAATTAGAACAATGATTAGTGAGAGCCAGCCCTGGCAGCAAAACTCTATTTTCTGGACCTCTGGGTAAATACCTGGCACTAAAAACTTACAGTGGGAGAAGGCTCTGGCAGGCTGTGGAAACCTTTTTGCTTCCAGTTCACTTCCAGCAACTTCATGTGTATATGTCTCCCCTCAATGAAGGCTACATAGTCCTTGAAATTGTTACAAGGGCCAGCTATGACACTCATGAAGTTGAGAAGGTAGCTTAAGTATTCCAAAAAAGAGGGTTTTACTCTGTGAAAATAAACAAAGTAAAAAGTTGACAAGTCTTCAGTCTTTATTTTTCTTTCATACTTGCAAATAAGCAAACTGTAAACACACGTGTTGTCTTTGTAGGTTATTAAACATGACGTGGTCTTTTCTTGTTCTGTTTCTTTAAAAATCCACCTAAGAGAAATCTTGTTGAAAGGAAAAGTTAATGAGGTGGGTGGCTTAGAGAAGGCACAGCACTCTGTACAGCCCTCTGCTAGCCAACCATGGCTATAAGCACGGAAGGTGGGGTCTAGGGTAAGGGCAACGCTGAGGCTGGTAAATGCTCTTTCTCATAAACCTTATCTGTCTACAAGGGAAGACGAAGGTAATAAACATAAGGCAGGGTGGGAACCTGACCTAATGTAAGCTGATGCTTTGAAATGCGAAAACTCCCTTCCCACTGCCAAGATAAACACAAAACAAATGATGGGTGGAACCAATTTCCACTTGAAGAGACCACACAAAACTACTGCTGTACGTCTCTTGTCTGTTTTGGCACCCAGGCATGAGGTCCTGAACAGACAAGGGAAGTGGAAGGAAAAAATTCTGTCGAGACCAGTTCTGTGTAATGTTGTTTTTTTTTAAATCTTTTTTGTGTGTGTGTGTGAGGAAGATCAGCCCTGAGCTAACATCTGTGCCCATCTTCCTCCACGTTATATGGGATGCCGCCACAGCATGGCCTGACAAGTGGTGCCTCGGTGCTCACCCAGGATCAGAACCTGGGCCGCCAGCAGCAGAGTGCGAGCACTTAACCACTATGCCACGGGGCTGGCCCCTTCTGTGTAATGTTTTAATGGCATTTTAGGAGGCATGCTCTTATAGCAAGATAGAACTGTGCGGAAAGGCTTCCTAAAATGCCAATGCTAAGCAGTCACTGGAATTATGCTCTATGGCCTTTACACACCCATAAGCTTAGCGAAGAACTTGATTCATTAGACTCTTCCAATGATTCTCCATTGCTTCCAAGTCCCAAATTCCTTAAGGAATGAAGCACTCAATCTCCTTACCACCCAGGATCGTCCCTTATCCCATTTATCTCCTAATACCCTCCTGTAGGAGTCCTCCACCATGGCTGCGCCACTCTCCCGGATGTGCTACCCCACATGCCATTTCCATTCCCATTCCCATATCGACGTTATTCCCCTACTTTACATAGCCTCTCTTTCTTTCCAACACCCACCCGCCTTTCTACTGCACACCAACACTGGCCAAAGTCCGCCTTCCGCCTTCCTCCTATTCCCAGCCAATATTTCTCTCTCCAGCCCTACTTCTTACCTTTTTTCATGCTGGCATTTAATCCCACTGCTATGCATTGATAACTAAGTGTGTCTTGAGGACCCCCAGACACATGCCCAATAAAAATAATTCTGGAATAGACATAACTCCAATGAAGGAGAATCCTGCAAAACTAACAAAATTACTGATCCATTTACTCTTTGGCCTAGCAATCCCACTTCTGGGAATCTATCCTACAGCTATACACGAACCCATTTAAAATGACCCATGGACAAGGTTATTCATCGCTTACCATTTGTAAAAGCCAAAGATGGGTAGACAACCCAAGTGTCCATCAATAGCAGATTCTTTAAATAAACAATATTATATCCATATAATGGAGTGAACATGTAGATACAAAAGAAAGGAGGAAGAGCTCTAGATACTGATGTACAAAGGGCTCAGGTATATATTGTTAACTTACTTTACAGCAAGTCGATGTTGCTCAGCAGAGAGGTCTTCAGCTCTTCGACCTAATCCTATGAAAAAGAAAATTTAGAAATAAGATGTTTGAAGTGAAGTAGATAACTAATCCTTAAAAAGGCTTATAAAACTCCTTTGAAAAAAGTGATTTATAAAAAGTCTCTGTAGGTTCTTATGAAAAGGGGAGAATTTAGAGGTTACTCCTATTTAATGTGCACAGTATGACATGGGTCCCAGAGAACCCTCCACATCGCCTGTACTCCTTGCCACGTTGTATATGTTTTCGTTGCTACACGAGAGAGAAGCCTGCCTTTTGCAGCCTGCAACAGCTTAAATATCCCCGTGATTATGCTGGGTGCAGACACCTGGTACAAGCTGAGAACACAAGTGTGAAATGTAATGGGGAAAGGAATAGGGGACTTTCCTCTTCCAAAAAAAACAGGAAACGTAACCCTGAATGCAGGGAAAACACAAAAAAATTAATCAGGAGATTTTTCTTTTAAAACTCATCCATGCCAGAAAAAATCCCAACCAAATCACATCTGTGCTTCCTACAAAATTTATATGTTAACTTACAGTCAAAGAAACTGAAGTGTCACCTTATAAGCAATAGAAGTTGACTTTAAAAGAGTATATAATAAATCAGTATATTCAGCTAAGACTGATTATGGTCGCCAATCATAAAGGCCACTCAAAAACATGCCTAAGAGAAGGCAAGTGTTTCTGGAATTTACTTGTTCTTCCCACACACAAGAAAAAAAGAAAAAAGCAAATAAACATTTTGCCTCATAAAGGATGTTCCAGAAAATAGGGTAAACTGAGAATGCTTTAAAAAGTAAATTTAGGCAAAAAGCCTATGTATAAAAAAACAAAACAAAACCAAGAAGCAGTGTTAAAAAAAAATCACTCACTTTTTTCTAAAATCAAATAGTACATCTCTGGCAATCCCAGAAATTACACTGATTTTAGCTATTGGTTTAAAACCACTACCGAGTGGATTTTCAGGTACAAAGATGGTGACCAACTCACCCCAGTTTGCCCAGGACTTTCGCGATGTGGACACTGAAAGTCTCAGGTTCTGGGAAACCTCTCAGTTCTGGGCCCACCAGGACACTTGGTCACCCTAGGAAGACTCCATCCTTGGTCTTACCCAGTTCTCTACAGAATGACTAAATAGCCAAGGACTATTTAGGACTACACAGGGTCAAAATGAAATTCAAGTAGTTCTCAAGATTTAAGGAAACACAAGAGGAGTAGCTAGCAGAGATTATAAATCTTCTCAACCTGTCAACATCTAAAGAAGTTTCAACAGTCAAAAAGCATTTGCCAGAGCAGTACACATCTGCAGAATATACTTTTACTAATTGCACCTGGCATCTCTTAAGCTCATATTGAAATCTTCTGCCCAGCTGAAAGTACCATCCTCCTTCCCTGGAACCCAGTTTTAACAGTGGAAATTGCACATTCTGGCAATTTTCAGGAAGGGCCTGAGCGAAGAAAATGTTCAGTTTTATACAAACAGAAGATTCTTCCTTCTCCCAGCTTTTTATAGTCAGGCTAATCCCACTAGATGATTTTCCAAGCCAAAAAAAAAACTAGCATTAAAAATATCGTTAACCAGCCAATGCTGTTTTTAATCTTTTATTACCTCGTGAGCTTCTCAGAGATTAAACCAAAGAAAAAGGATGCCATGTCTTCTTAACAGATTTGGAGATGAAGGGCAGAGAGTGTCATAAATTAACTTAAATTTAAAACATTGTAAACGTAAGCAGAAAAACACACTGTTCTCATTGCAAATAATCCTGCAAAGTTAGACTACAGATTCAGCAGGGAAATGGTAAATAATAGCTGGGAGAGTAAAAGGCAGTGATTAAAGAGGCATGGAAATTTTTGACAACATATAGCAGGATCTGCCAACACTGTCTAAACTTTGGACTGTGTATATAGGATAAAAGAAGAGCTCTGAACGTCAGGCTCACTCTTAAAACTGAAAGGAGGGCCCTTTTTCTCACCGTCGTGAATTTGGAATGCCAAGACTGTGATCTTCTGAGTGACAATCATCAGAGGCCTAAAAGGAAGATAGAAAACAGTCAAGATTGGTAAAAGTGCCACTGGAAGAAACTTTTATTCTATTTCTCTGCATGGTGGTTTTTCATCTTGAAGATTATTAAATAAAATACAAAAACTCTGAATTCAAAACCAACAATTTTTATTTCCCTTTCAAATCACTTTAAATAAGTAGATATAACAACACTGTACAAGATCACACTAGAAAGTCCCTCTTGCACTGTTACTCAGAGTAAGTTCCAGGACCAGAATCATCAGCACCATCCGGGGCTTGTTGGAAACGCAGAATCTCACCCTCCATTCCAAATCCAGAAAATGAGAATCTGCATTTTAACAAGATCTCTAGGAAATTCGAATGCATACTAAAGGGTAAGCAGCACTGGTTTGGGAGATGCCTAATCCAGTGTCCTGGTTCCACCTGGACAGATGTATATTTTGGCTTCTTCACCCTAAGATGCTCTAATAAGCTTTGTTCTATAAAAGGCAGTTCTTCCATGCACACATAGTAAAAGTGTAAAAATTGGTAAAATGCAGCTGCCTGCATTTAGTGACCAAAAAATAACACCAATCTTAATTTGAAAAAAGCCATCAGATACAAACTTGCTAAAAAGTGGCACCCATGTACAATAAGGGCGCCAAGATAATTCAATGGGGGCAAGAACAGTCTTTTCGACAAATGGTGATGGTACCACTGGATACCCTCGTGAAAAGAATACAAAAAGTAATTTAAAATGGATCAAAGACCTAAAGGTAAGAGCTAAAACTATAAAACTCTTAGAAGAAAACACAGGCATAAACCTTAGTGACCTTCGACTTGGCAGTGGTTTCTTAGATGTAACACCAAAAGCACAAGTAACAGAAGGAAAAAATAGATTAAATGGGTATCATTAAAACTTAAAACTTTTGTGCTTCAAAGGACACACATAATCAAGAAAGTGAAAAGATATTTCACAGAATACATGAAAATATGTGCAAATCATATATCTGATAAGGGACTTGTACTAGAATATATAAAGAACTCTTACAACTCAAAAATCAAATATCGCAATTTAAAAATGGCCAAAGGATCTGAATGGACATTTGTCTAAAAAAGATATACAAATGATGAATAAGTACATGAAAAGATGCTCAACAGCAATCAGCCATCAGAGAAACGCACATCGAAACCACAATGAGATCCCACTTCACAAGAACTAAGATGGCTAGGATCACAAAGACAGAGAATAGTAAGTGTTCCCCAGGAGGTGGACCAATTGGAACCCTCATGCATTGCTGGTGGGAATATTAAATGGTGAAGCCACTTTAGAAACAGTCTGACAATTTCTCAAAAGGTTGAACATAGAGTTACCACATGATGAAGCAATTCCACTCCTAGGTATATACCCACGAGAAATAAAAATATGTCTACACAAAAACTTGTACATACATATTCATTGCAACATTATTCATAATAGCCCATAAGAAAATAACCCAAATGTCCATCAACTGATGAATGGATAAATAAAATGTAGTATATCCATATTATTCAGCAATGAAAAGAATGAAGTACAGATACGTGCTACAACACGGATGAACCTTTTGAAAACATTATGCTAAGTAAAAGAAGCCAGACACAAAAGACCACATATTGTAAAATTCCATTTATATGAAATGTCTAGAAAATAAATCCACAGAGAAATGAAACAGACTTTGGTTGCCTAAGGCTTGGGGAATCGGGAGGAAATGAGAAGTGATGGCTAATGCACACTGGTTTCTTTTGGGAGTGATGAAAATGTTGTGAAATTAACTGTGGTAGTGGTTGTATTCCATAAATCCCCTCTGTGAATACGCTAAAAAACACTGAATTGTATACTTTAAATGGATGCATTATATGGTATGTGAATTATACCTCAATAAAACTGCAATAAAAAAATGGCACCTGTTTTCCAATCATCGACCCTAGTTTAGTACCTTTAATAGCTCTGTTCTTGCCCAGCAAGACAATAAAATCCCATTGCTCTGACTACCGTACTTTCTTTCAAACCTTCTTAGTCTAGCCTGGTTTTCTGATCTCCATTCTTGTGGCTTCTCACTGAATTTGCTGTCTCTGATGCCTATGGACTGACGGCTCATTTATATAGACAGCTGAGGTTTAGATCAGTGTCCAATGGCAGCATCCCTGGGATGACCCTGGGATGCCACACAGCTTCTGTGCCCTGAGCTCAGGCCAGGCCCAGGTGTGTGGGAGGAAGGAATCAGACACAAACCATCTTTAGGCCCAGTCTGATCTGTGTCACCTGCACTCAGCCACTTCTCTGTGAGTCCATTTTCCTCTTTAATTCCTCTCATTCTAATTCCTATTTTCCATCTCTTTAAAATAAGCACATAACATTTTAAACTATCAATATAAATTAGTAAGAGAAACCATTTTTTTAAAAAGTACCACCCAACCTTTGAAATCTTAACACCTGTGCTCAACGTTATATTTTATTTGCAAAAGCCCAATGGCCAACCTTTGAAACAAGATTCCTAATGTTGTGTGTGAGGCAAAGAGATGGGGAAGAGAGTCTGACTGCAGAAGGGAAGGGTGACTGTGCTCTGCCAGGACTGGTGAGAAGCAGGTGTGACAAGCAAAGGAACCACCGTGGTGATCATTCTCGGGCAGCAAGACAAGCTCATAGCTAACTGATTTTGACTACGCTCTTTTATAGTGAAGAAAATAACGCTCTTCCAGAACACTGAGGTTTGGGTCTTAGTAATAAGGGCTACATCAAAGCCAAATTGGTCTTATAGAATAATACAACCTTGCAGCTCACCTTCTTGATAGTCAACAAAACCTCTGACCTAGAATGTATACCAGATGCCGAGAGCTGTTTTCCTTGAAAAGGACTCACTCTAAGCATCACATTAAGGTAGTTTCCAAATAGGACTTTCAAAGCACCATAGTTTTCTTTCCAAAGCCTTTATGTCTTTTTTTTTTTCCTGAAAGATTCAAAGTCCTAGGAATCAGTAATAGGACCTAAACTTCAGTCTTCCTTACACAAACCCCAGTACAAAATTTTTTTTAATTTGAGGCAAACTCTCTGGTAACTATGCAATTTGCAAATCAAGTAAATTCCTCCATGCAATTTAATTCATCACTTCATTTTTTAAGGGCCTAACAAATTGATATATCAATAAAGAAAATGAGTCATGGAATTAGCCTACCTTTTGTCTCTATAGAAATATAACATTTGTTTTCCTCTATCTGGGTTAGATTTAATGTATTCCATAATTAGGCACATGTTCAGAAAAGCATTTGGTAGTCTAATATTCACATATGCGGTGGCCATGAGAATACGCCTCTCAGATCAGCTGCTGGAGGAGCATAACTGACTGGGTCCAGGCGCGCCCTCTGATTCCACTGCCACCTTGTTCATGCTGAGCCTATGCCCCCCTTGAAGCCAATGACTGAGCGCAGCGGGGTACCCAGGCAGGCCCTTCCATACAAGGTGTAGTACTCCTCCGCCCCATGACTCCTTGTTGAACTTGCCGAAACTTTCCTAGAATTGCACTGCAGTCCAAGACGTCTCTTCCTTCCTTCTCTCTCTCTTTTCTCAGGGGTCAGATGTGCAATTCAATCTGATGGCTCTCCCAGCCTCATCCAGGTGCCTCTCCATTTTCCCTCACAGGCATTTCACCCAACAAATCTCTTACACTTCTGTTCCCACCTTGGCATCTGCTTTTCAGAGAACCTAGACTAATGCAATACATAATATTAAATTTCTAGATCAATGTCACTAAATAACAATTATTCAATATGAAATCTGCACCATTTTGTCTATGTAAAAACCATATTGTTGTCATTCTTTAGAAAAAAATTTTCCTTTTTTGGAAAAAAAAAGCTATGGATCAAATATTGTTACGAATCATCCAGACTCTACTGTCAATAATATATTGCTTCTGTTTTAAACATCTGAAGAAGTTTCTAGCAACTTAAATAGGAAACAACTCACACATATGACCATGGGTTTATAAAATACAATGTTCTGATAACTTGTGAAAAAGTAGATCTAAAATCCACAAACTAGAACTAGAACTTGTTCACTAAAGAGCAATAGAGTTAGAATCCTTCCACATTCTTACTTTTCTATGGGTGTAAGGAAGTGCACCCTATGCTCTTACTCAGAGGAAGTCCTCTCTGAACACTTTTTCTTTGACCAAACTATTTAAACTTATGGGTAGATCAAATGCCAAATTTAGATTGCACAAGTTACTGAGATTCAAGAGTCAAAGCTGTAGAGTTAATGACAACATAAAACTCAAATACCATCCATGCTGCATTTGAATCAAAACATAAATAGATCTAAGACATGTTTGTTGTTTTGTGATTGGAACTCATGCTTTCCTTTTGCAAACATGCAAAACCCAGCATACACAAGCACATACTACAAGCACAGGAAGGACACAAAAAGGCTCTTTGGTGCAGCCAAAGAACTTCCTCAAGACAATGAGGCCTTAGAACTCGAGCTGTACTCCAATTTTCCACCCCTTGAGAAATGTGCTCTGTCCTTGAATTTGTACAGACTCTTCAGTCATAGGCCCTGCACTTGAATCCATGGGACCATCTGACCAATCTGAAATCAAGGTTTGCATCCAGCCTGGTTGAGGTAGGGCCACTTCTCTTTTGTCCTATGAATTTTTTTCATGAGTGGAAAAAAAAAGCCAAAGAAAACCATTTTTTTCTCCCCAAATCTAAGATTATTAGTCTAATTTGGATAAAGAAATATAGGGTGAAATGAATAAGGGAAAACAGGCAGATGGAGATGTGTTTAGAGTAAAAAGAAAGACAGAACAATGCCACTCCCCCTCCCACTAAACACACACACAATCAATCAATGCCTTCTGATACAAACTCTGGGCAATTTACCAGAAGTGGTACCCATTCACCCATTTCCATCAACTCTCAACAAAAAATAACCTATCTCTAAAACATTGAACAAAAACTCAGTTTTGAGCAATATTCCAATAAAACCTACCAAT